GGGGGATTCTCCTTGGCTGGTGGATCTCAAAAGGGAGGGGTCTTTCCAATCCAAAAGGCACCATGAATGGGCCACTCACTGGTGCCTTCTGGAGGGCAGTGCCTTGCTGGCTGTAGCTATTGGCTGCTGTCTCATCTGGCCTGGCAGTGAGGCTTAAATAAACAAACATGGCCCAAAGACATGGTGACCACAATGAGGTGAGAGGTGCATGTGGAGGCAGCCTTGGTGGTCCCTTCATAGGGACCCTGGGAGCAGATTGTGTAGAGAATGAATCCATATGAGATGAGCAGGCCAATAAAAGAAACTAGTGACAAAATTCCACTGTTGGTGATCATCATGACCTCCAGGGGATTTGTGTCAATGCAAGCCAACTTGATGACTCTGGAGAGGTTGAGTTGGTGCCCCATGCCCTCCTGTATGACTCCTTTTATAGCGACTTATGAAAATTATCTCCTAATTCTGTCAGCCTATGTCAGCTGGTACCGTAGGGAGCAAGAGGATTCTTGAAATCTCTCAGACCCCACAGTTCATCCACACCCAAGTGAGGGGGTCAGGATTCCCAAAGTTGCCGAGCCTGACTTTCCAGCCTTTGGGGTGAATTTTAAGTCAGTGTTCACCTTCATTCAGTGATGCTGATGTCTCTGGCTTCTTCTGCAAACTTCTGCATTTTATTTTTTAAATATGTATTCTGCTTCACTTCGGCTAGGGCAGGGGTTGGGGATGTGTGGCACTCCAGATGTTGAGGGATTCCAAAACCCACCAACCCCAGTCAGTATGAAAAATGGTCAGCAATGATGAGGGCTGTAGTCTAGCAATATTTGGAGGGCTATAGGCTTCCCATCCCTGCACTAGGGGGATTGAAAGCAGATAACAAGAAAAGAAATAATATGTTTTACTGTGTTAAAGCGGCTGGGGAACACAGCCAGATGAGTGGGTTATAAATAACAAAATTATTACTATCATTATCATTATTATTAGTTATACTTCTTCCATTCCTGTCTCCATTTGAATACTTGGACCTTCTGCAAGGGGGGGGCATAATCTTACAGATACTCATTAACAAGCATAGTTATCTTGCTGTATAACAGTACAGATGTCTACGCAGCAATAAGTGTTTTAAGATTTAATGGGCCTTGCTCCCAGAGAAGGGAGTACAAGCTGGCAACGTAGACTCTGGTTTATGGTTGAAACTAAGAGAAAGCAGTGGCTTTGTGCCCTTAAGAGCTGTATAACAGGAGGTATAATTCAGAGGTTAAGCCTGGATTCCAGAAAGCTGAGGTCCATTGTGGGAATATACATACAACCTGAAGTCTCTCTGTCCTCTTTGATTCCACTTTCAATCTGATTAAGCTCTGGTTTACTTGTTTTCTCCATTCATCATGGTTAGGTCTAATCAATTTTATCTGCTCATTAAACATTTGCTGAAGGATGCCAACAGTCAGGGGAAAGTCCAACAATATACTTGCCAGAAATATAATACGTATTTGTATTAAGAATATAGTGTTCTGATCCATCACTTGTGTTGGTGAAAATAAAACTTTTCAGTTGTGGCTTTGTTGAATGCTTTCCCCAGTGAACTGTGCATGGTTCTTTGTTGCAATCTTTTCCAAGCACCAGGGCAGAAATCATTCACACTTTCTTATCTAGTTCTCTGAATTTCACCAAGGAGACCTGATTCAGACAACATCTTCCGGGGAGGGAACCCAGTTCAATGGGGGATAAATTATTTCACAGTACATAGATAACTCTGGTCAACAACAAATTTGTTGTCTGCATTTTTTCAGTTGGTTTAGGATGAATCTGATGCGCTGAATCCAAAAATCACATTGGTTTTGCTCAATCAGGTCAAGTTTTTGAGCTATGGCCACATGTCGGTTTTTTACATTTTTGTTCACATGTACGCTGGTGTGGAGCATTTTAGGAGAAGTTGGTGGGGGCAAAATGCCATGTCAAATAATTGTTTTGATTGGAAATGATTATTTTAATGACAAGAAGTATTCAGGTCCGATAGTTCTGGGTGATTATGTCGAAAAGGGATCAGTTTGAAGTCATAAAACCTCGAAATCTTCCATAAATTGGTGCAGCAAAGCATAAAGTTGCTTACCATGCTTATTTTGGTATTAAACTTGGTGACCAGGATAAAGCTTGGGTGCCACACATGGTGTGCAAGGCATGCACCGAGACTCTACGTGGGTGGACCAATGGCAAGAGGAGTCTGAACTTTGAAATTCCCATGGTTTGGAGGGAGCCAACAAACCATGTCACTGACTGCTACTTCTGCGCTGTTGATGTGACTGGGATCAACAGAAAGAACCGGAGCAGCCTCAAGTATCCTGATCTTCAATCAGCACGTCGTCCTGTAGCTCATTGTGATGAAATTCCAGTGCCTATCTTCAGAGAACTTCCTGACATTAGTGACGAAGATGCCTCCAGTGTTGAAGAAGAAGAAGTGGTTCTTGAAGATGATGCTCCACATCCATTTTCCCAAAAGGAGTTGAATGATCTAGTTCGCAACCTCAGCTTGTCAAAGGACTCTGCCGAACTGTTGGCATCCAGATTGAAGGAAAAAAACCTCCTCTCTGACAGTGCTCGCATCAGCTTCTTCCACAACAGGCATCAAGAGTACCTCAGTTTTTTCTCGGAAGACAAGGACTTGGTGTACTGTGCAGATATTGCGCAGCTTCTGCTCAAGCTTGGAGTGCCACAGTACGAACCCAAAGATTGGAGACTGTTCATTGACAGCAGCAAGCGATCACTGAAATGTGTTCTGCTACACAACGGCAACCAGTTTGCCTCTATACCCCTGGTTCACTCGAGTACACTGAAGGAGAACTATGAAGCGGTGAAGTATGTGCTGGAGAAAATTGGTTATGATCAGCATAAATGGTTTATTTGTGTTGACCTGAAGATGGTGAACTTTTTGTTGGGACAACAGTCTGGCTTCACCATGTACCCATGTTTTCTGTGCATGTGGGATAGTAGGGACCGTGCTCAGCATTACACGAAGAAGGACTGGCCTGTGCGGGAGGAATTGGTGCCTTGCAAAGAAAGGAACGTCATCAACGACCCTCTGGTGGACAGAGACAGAATACTCTTCCCACCGCTGCACATCAAGCTCGGCTTAATCAAGCAGTTCACCAAGGCTCTGGACAAGGATGGTGACTGCTTCACTTACTTGTGCCAGGCTTTTCCAGGATTGACCATGGAGAAGTTGAAAGCTGGCATCTTTGATGGTCCTGAGATCCATCAGCTCATCAGAGATCCAGAGTTCGGAAACTCAATGAACGAAGTGGAACTGGAAGCGTGGAAGGCATTTGTTCCGGTAGTGAAGAACTTTCTTGGCAACAATAAGGCCAGAAACTATGCAGAACTTGTCAACAACATGCTGACTGCTTTCAGAAACCTGGGCTGCAACATGAGCGTCAAGATGCACTACCTATTTTCACATATGGACCGGTTTCCTGAGAACCTGGGTTCAATGAGTGACGAGCAGGGGGAGAGATTCCATCAGGACATGAAAGAGATGGAGACCAGGTATCAGGGTCGCTGGGACGCAGTCATGATGGCTGACTACTGTTGGACTCTGAAGAGAGACCTCCCTGCCACTGAGCATTCCAGGAGATCCAAGAAACGGAAGTTCAAGCCCTGAAGTTTGAAAAATGGTGAAGCAACATGCAATTTACGTGTAAATACCTTTATCAATGCCCACCATTCAGTTTACAGTAATCAATGTTTCTATCAGGTAATCAATATATGTTGTTGGAAAAACATTATTTTCTCTTAAAAACATATTTAGGATGATATGTGTTGACAAAAATCAGCTGATAATGCCACAAAAATGTAATCGGTTTTGTCACAAGATCTGATTTTTTTTTCAAATCAACATAGCACAAAAACCTGACCTGATGGAGAGAAACAGATGCCATTTCCTGATTCAGCAGTGCAAAAATACCCTAAAGCAGTTGTGGAAATCTAGACAACATTTGAAAAGTAAAAAATTGTTGCCCAGTGTAATCTATGGAACCCACTGGCATAGGAAACAATGGTGGAGACAGTGCATTTGCTTTTGGATACGGCTGGAAGGTTTAATCTCACTGTAAACAAGTGGTACAGTGACGATAAAGTACCGTATTTTTTGCTCTATAAGACGCACCAGACCACAAGACGCACCTAGTTTTTGGAGGAGGAAAACAAGAAAAAAAATATTCTGAATCTCAGAAGCCAGAACAGCAAGAGGGATAGCTGCGCAGTGAAAGCAGCAATCCCTCTTGCTGTTCTGGCTTCTGGGATAGCTGCGCAGCCTGCATTCGCCCCATAAGACGCACACACATTTTCCCTTACTTTTTAGGAGGGAAAAAGTGAGTCTCATAGAGCAAAAAATACGGTATTTCTATTTCCCACAGGAATCTGCTTGGTCATTCTGAGTACAGGCTGCCTTATGAGATGAGCCATTGGCCTGATTCAAGAGGATCATCTTACATCTCTTTGATCTTGAATATGGATAGGTTGAGGATGAAATCTGACTGTGAGCAGTACAGAACAATAGACCATAAATGAATACTTAAATATTCCATGACCTGCAATAGTACAGTTTCACATTATGCTGAAAGCTGTGAGAATTAAGGCTAGATAAAGATTTGCTTACATGTATATTTTGACAAGAATTGCTCTGAGTCTTCTTGTCAACACATGCTACAAGAGAATAATGTAAGTGGAAATGTATGATTGTTTTCCTCAAAGCAAATAAGTCAATTTTACAATGGAAATTTCAACTATGCGAACTTGGACTCTACTGTAAATACCAGTGGTGTAGCGTGGGTTATCAGCACCCAGGGCAAGGCAAGTAATTTGCGCCCCCTAACCCGTGGATTTGCGCCCCCTAACCCTAACCCCAAGATGTTGCGCCCGGTGCGGCCGGCCCTCCCTGCACCCCCCACGCTACGCCACTGGTAAACACAGAGAAACCACAAAATACAGCAGATGACAGATTTCTCCTTTCTTTAATTTTTCTTCCTTATTAGCTGTTCCCTATTGTTCAGCTCAGGCCTCAAAATAATTATATAACATTTGGGGGAAAAGATGCAACCCAGCAACCCACCACCGGAGGCTAAGATGGAGAAGATCTCCACAGCTACCATGTATTTTCCCTTGGTGCTCAGGTAGGAAGGAATAAAGGACAGCCAAACACTGCAGAAGACCAACATGCTGAAAGTGATAAACTTGGCTTCGTTGAAACTGTCTGGTAACTTCCTGGCGAGGAAAGCCACAGCAAAGCTTACAGTGGCCAGGCAGCCCATGTAGATGAGGACACAGTAAAACATTGTTACAGACCCTTCATTACATTTTAGTATAATTTCTTCTGTCATTGAGTACATGTCTACATCTGGGTATGGGGGAGAGGTTGCCAGCCACACAGTACATATCCCTCCTTGAACTATGGAGCAGGAAAGGAGAATGGAGTGGCCTAGTCCTTTCCCCACCCATTTCCTCATCCTGGATTCTGGTTTTGTAGCCATGAAGGCCAAAACCACCATGAAGGTTTTTGCCAGGACACAAGAAACAGCAGTTGAGAAGATTATACCAAAAGCTGGTTGCCGGAGGAGGCACGTCACCTTGTCAGGTCGGCCAATGAAGAGCAAAGCACAAAGGAAGCAGAGCAGGAGAGAGATGAGGAGAGTGTAGGTGAGGTTTCGGTTGTTTGCAATGACAATAGGTGTGTCATGGTGTTTTATAAATGTACCTAGTACCAGAACTGTCATCAGGGAAAGGAAAAGAGAGAAGCAGGCTAAACTGATGCCCAAAGGTTCTTCATAAGACAAGAAGCTTATATCCTTGGGTAGACATGCATCCCGGTTCTTGCTTGGATAGTGTTTGTCTGAGCATTTATTACAGTCATTCATATCTGGGGGAAAATAAATATATTAGGTGATACTTTTCAGCTTGCTTTTCAGTTTATTTTCTGTCTGAGAAGAAAAGAGCTCTGTTTAATTCAAAGCACATGTTTTGTACTGTCTGATGCTCTGTAACATGGTATTGTTGCAATCTAAGCTTTCTCTGTCTCATGGATATGCCAATAAAACACAACGAGACCGTGAGGGGGAAAATAGTCCAAAGAATTTAATTCTACACAAAAGGTTCAGCTGGGGATAACTCCCTAAAACAACTAAACATCATACAAAGACTTCCAAACAGTTTTTTATGTTTGGCATGAATTCCACACATTCCTTTAAGTTTAATTTCCTATCCAATCGAAACACTTTGTTTCTCTCACCCCATTTCCTCCTAATGCACTTTGTTGTCTCCTTATGATTGGTCCAAATCACAGTTTAAACGAAGGTCTGCTAAAATTTTATTTCAGAATTAGATTTCACCTCAGTATTGTATTTCACTCCAGTTACTGATAATAGTCTCACCACAGTCCGGGCATACTCAGTATGTCAAAACCTTATATGGTATGATTCTCTGTACAGTGGTACCTTGGGTTACAGATGCTTCAGGTTACAGATGCTTCATGTTACAGACTCCACTAACCCAGAAATAGTACCTCAGGATAATAACTTTGCTTCAGAATGAGAACAGAAATTGTGCGGCAGCAGCATGGCAGCAGCGGAAGGCCCAATTAGTTATAGTGGTACCTCAGGTGAAGGACAGTTTTAGGTTAAGAACGGACACCAGAACAAATTAAGTTCTTAACCCGAGGTACCACTATATTTAATTACCACAGTATTCTTGAATTTAATTGGTTCAGAGTTATGTGGTCCTGTAAGTGCTACAGCCAGTGCCATTGCCATCTGAATGTTTATTCACACTAGCCTGGGTGCAGCCTGTGCAAGTCAGAAGGTGTGCCAAGGCCCCCTCTAGATATGCTCAGGACGCAAGATAGAAATGTGGAAAGAGAAAGGCACGCTTGGCCAATCCACATCATGATCAACTCTGTTCCGGAAACCAAAGTCCCCACTGTGGAAGGACGTGCGGATCCAGAACTGACCTCCACAGTCACTCACAGACTCATTGTTAAAACTGTGTTTATGGAAGACAATCTTATTTGGCTATGAGTGATCGAAGAAGAAGAAGAAGAAGAAGAAGAAGAAGAAGAAGAGGAGGAGGAAGAAGAAGAGGAAGAAGAAGAAGAAGAAGAAGAAGAAGAAGAAGAAGAAGAAGAAGAAGAAGAAGAAGAAGAAGAAGAAGAAGAAGAAGAAGAAGAAGAAGAAATGCTTTGAACCACATACCACCCAACTACTCTCAATGCATGGTCATTCTCATTTGATTGGCATATTTAGGCTTAAACCAATAGCCTTAAACCAAGATTCTGTGTCAGTGTGAATTTTATTCTAACAAGGAGCTGGTTTGTGGGTCTTGCCAAAGAAGAAGAAGACGAAGAAGAAGAAGAAGAAGAAGAAGAAGAAGAAGAAGAAGTGCTTTGAACCACATACCATCGAACTACTCTGAATGCATGGTCATTCTCATTTGATTAGCATATTTAAACTATCTGAAAGGCAATCATCAGAAAGAGTCAGGATCACACAAACAGGAGATCATATATTTTGAAACGTAAACTCAACTGTCCTTACAACACCTTTCAATTATTACTTTTGAGTCTGGATCTATTTATTTTCCCTACCATACTGGTTTGCAATCTTCCCCTCTGCACATGGGATGCAATCGTAGCAGCAAGGTGGCTGTCCCTCCTTCACTTTCTTGCTGGATCCTGGAAGACATGTCTCAGTACAGAGAGAAAGAGGCCGAGTCTATTATGTAAATGAAAGAGCAGAAGGATCAGCAAGAGAACAATGAGTTTGGAAATCTTCATGTTCCTGGGCCCCTCTCTATGATGCAAAGCTGAGTCAGCCTTTCAGCAATATGTAGAATGGCTATATTTTTTTAGTAGTAGTAATGCTTGAAGTGATGTCATACGCCCTCTATTGTTCTGGGATGTGTAGGTTTTGTGATTACATAGCAGTTCCCCACTTTTTAGCAAGAAAGGCAAAATCTTGGGGCTTATCTATCCTCTTTTCTTCAGTTAAAAATCAGTATTTTATAATGTTAAGAAATATTTATAATATATTCATAAATATAATAAAATAAAATATTTGCCTTTATTCCTTGAGTGACTTCTAGCAGTAAGCTTTTGGCTCTTCATGTGGTACTTGGATGATTTGGTCATATTCTACACAGTAACATGTAGTTTAAAAGACAATGAGTAGACATGCAGGTGAATATTCATTGCGTATGCAAGAATGAATCTCCTTGGAATTATCTAATTATACAGTCCTACCTGATTAAACCAACTGTTCCATGTTATGGCATCTTCATCAAGGATGAATGATGGGTCTGCAGAAGCCTGTGGATCTATCCTCCCAACACTCACTCTTTGCAAACTTTGGTTGGAGAATATAATCCAATTGACAACATTCAAGCTAGATACCACCTCACCATTCTGGTTGATGAAGACCACATCTCCTGCTGTATTGTTAAATGAGATACTTCTCAGAAAGTGATGGAGCTAGATTGAAAACAGAAAAAGCACGTTTGCAAAAGGCTGCAGTTCTAATACATGGCTAAGGTATCTTTATCCTGTGGGCAGGAACTACAGCAAGTGGTGTGTGGTGATACAGTCAACTGTGAGTGGAGTCAGGTCCAGGGATGGAGGGACCACCAATTTTCTTTCTCCCACATCCCTCACTTCGTTTTAACACCCTTTCCTTATCTCCCCCTCCCCACACCACTTTCCCTCTGTCCCTCTTCATCCCTGGAGACACCACAGTGGTGTGCAACCACATGCTCTGAGGGACGACTTTGTGTATATGGGATAAAGAGAATGCTGAACATCTCTCTCGATCATTACCGCTGCTTCTTATCTGTGAATGCAGTAACATATTAGTTGTCTGCAAACTTCTACCATGGAACTGATTTTCCTTGTCTGAGACGAATGAGCAAGTTGACAACATTTTGGAAACCCATATCTTGTGGGGGAATAACAGGCCTCTTCCAGTTGAGGATGTTTAGCCTATTACCTGCCAAAACTGTTGATTCTGATTCTTCCCTCTCCCTCTGTATGCCATTTCTCTGTGCCTGAGTCTGGATGTGGACATGGTATGTAAAGCATGGGCCACGGCGTAGACAGCACAGTGGATACTGTAACTGTGGCCTGTCATGCTCATTTCAAAAAATGATCCAGGAAGGTTCTCCAGCTTCTCTTCTCCGGTGCAAATATTCCCCTCCACCTTGTCTGCAGTCATATCCGGGAGCACACATTCAAAGGCCTGTTGCCAGAAGTCCCTGATAAAACCGTCCCCATCTGTGCTGGAAGGGTTTCTGTGCACAACATATTGATGAAATCCTGGTGGGTTTCTGAAGTGAATTTCAAAGGATATAGCACCATTGAATACTCCTGAATCCCAGTTCCTTTGAATGACTATTGAAGCAAACTCAACCTGGGCCGTTATTATCCATACTTTACTTTTTATATTGTATGTCATGTCATCATGTACTGATAGGTATGGAAGCCATCTCAAAATTGTCATGTAATAAGATTCTCCATAGGCAATTATTATATTAGCTGTGCTGCTAAAAAGTTTATGAATTATAATTGCCCCCTGTTGTTGCATGCCATTTATTTCAGAAATAAAACTTATACTGGGGATTCTTTCTAGGAATGCAAAGCAGACACCACTCTTGGTAAATATTGGAGAGATGGTTTGCAGAAATCTTTCTCCGTTGTCATTGTCCATTGCAACGACTCCAATCCACGTCCACCTGAAATGCAGAAGCAAAGAGAGAATTCCCTTATACTGAAGGGCTTCTGAGGCTGCCATCTGGTAGAAGGGAAGCCCTGGGCTTTTATCATTCATCACTGGAGCAGAGCCATAAATGAGCTATAAAGCAAATGGAAGAATAGAAGAGACAAAGTAGATTCCTTTCACAGTATTCATATACATTATGTGGTGAACCCTGTTAGTCAAATATGCCCTTTGCCAACGTTTCAGGGTTTGTTTGCCTCTCTCTCAGTTTTACAAAAGACACACATGCAGATGGGCTGAAAACTGGGATCATCTCCCATTTGTTGTTTGAAAACCTGTGCTTTCCTGAATGGAGAGGGGCAATGTGTCTGTTTTTTACTATTTTTAGGAATCTCATTAACACTTGATGTCTGGAGCGGGGCATTGTGTCTACCTCACTTAAAAACAAACAAACTTTTTTTATGCTATTGCAAAATTTGGCAGGGTCTTGTACAATGGATAAAACTGGATGGGGAAACATACCATGCCCCAAACAGCAGATTTCCTGGACATTATCTGGCTTTGTCAGAATTGCAACTTGGGTTAGATGCACATTTCTTCTCTGGAGCTTCGTCTTTCTTCTTCATGATGCACATGCACCATCACACAGCAAAACTCTGCTGATTCTTCTCAGACTTTATTTATGAACATTTATTTCACTTGTGAATCAGCTGCTAACTACTTTTACTGTTCGCCTGTGGAACTGGATTGTATCTGCAGTTTGCCATAACGTCTCTATATCTTTAATTATGTCCAGTGTGCTAAAGAGTAATAGTTATTGCACTGGCTCCTACCTGTAAGGTTTTTGTAGCTGTAAGCATTTTCCCCACTTCCCCAGCTTATTTGACATGCCCTCCTCACTAATTTTTCCACTGGCGCCTAAAATCTTATTTCTTTTATCCAGTAAGCAATTACCCCCCTTTACTCAGCAGCTCAATTCAAATACCCTCCTAAGTAAGCAGAAAATGATGCATAAGCAAAAACTGCTGGTAAGAGAGAAGCCCACTCTCCCATCAGTGGCATTTGTTATATACTGTAAGTGATCTAAATTTGTGTGTAAGACGTTAGAGTTACATATTTTTTTCAGGTATTGCAGTAAAGTAAAGGGACCCCTGACCATTAGGTCTAGTTGTGACCGTCTCTGGGGTTGCAGCGCTCATCTCGCTTTATTGGCCGAGGGAGCCGGCATACAGCTTCCAGGTCATGTGGCCAGCATGACTAAGCCACTTCTGGCAAACCAGAGCAGCGCATGGAAACACCATCTACCTTCCCGCAGGAGCGGTACCTATTTATCTACTTGTACTCTGACGTGCTTTTGAACTGCTAGGTTGGCAGGAGCTGGGACAGAGCAACGGGAGCTCACCCCATCACGGGGATTCGAACCAACGACCTTCTGATCGGCAAGCGCAAGGCTCTGTGCTTTAGCCCACAGCGCCACCCACATCCCCACAGGTATTGCAACCTTCCCCTTTATTCAGGTTTGTCTGTCTGTCTGTCTGTTGTTTGCTTATATTACAATTATGTACCATCTTTATTTTCCAAGAATCTCAAGGTGGTGTACATGGTTCTCCTTGCAATTTCATCTTCACCCCGAACTGATGCTGAGGAACCTGCCTCTTCTCTATGCAAGCTAATAGAGGTATTGATCATGAGTGTCCTACCTGCGGAATCTTATAGATATCCAAAATAGTTGCCACATAAAAGGAGATTTCAGAATCCAGTCCCCCAATGACTCCAGTCAGACTATTTTCAACATCACATATATAGTTAGGGACAAATTTCTCCACCATAGATAAAAGCAGCAGTGTGGCAAGATATGTGCTCCTTGCACTGATATAGCTGTCATATAAGTGGAAGCCCAAGGTGATATTGGGTAGGATGTGAGGGTCTTCATTGATCTGCTTGACTGCAAATGCCAAGGCCACGATGTGCTGGTAACCCTTAGGCACCACCCTAGAATGAGAGTTGCAAATGTATCAGCAGGAACTTCAAAATAAATATTCTTTTACATATCAACAGATTAGTTAATCATATTGAGTTCAGTGGGGTTAACTCTCAGTCTGATCCACTATTGAATAGCTCTTATCAATAGAAGGTTCTCTCTGATGTTTATTTGAACTCTCCTTTCTTGTAAATTGAATACCCTGATTTGGAGCAAGAGAAAACAAGTGTGTTCCGAAACCAGAGGCTTTTCTCCTGGGCATGGTTGGCCAATTGGTGTTAAGGAAGGATAGGACGTTTTTTATGTATGCTACCACAGCAGCAAGGATTCTTTTAGCAAAGTATTGGAAGACACAAGAATTACCCACGCTGGAAGAATGGCAGACGAAGGTGATTGATTATATGGGACTGGCGGAGATGACTGGCAGAATCCGTGACCAAGGGAAAGAGACGGTGGAAGAAGACTGGAAGAAATTTAAAATATATCTCAAGAATTGTTGTAAAATTGATGAGTGTTAAAATGTCAAGGGATTGTGAAATATAGAATTGTAGCTGTAATTGAATAAGTTAGAGAAGAACTTAAAAAAAATGAATTGAATAATTAGTTAATTGGGGAAGTTGCTGAAGAAATTTTAAAACAAGGATGCAGAAAAGGGGAGGCATGGGAAGTCCGGGAAGTAAGGTTTATGAAAAGAAGGTTATGAAATTATACATGTTTATATGTTTGTTTGTTTATGTATTGTGTATTGTTTGTGTTTATTTTGTGTTTGGAAAATCAATAAAAATTTATTTAAAAAAAGAAAAAGAAAACAAGTGTGTTCCATCTTCCTGGTGACAGCTCTTGAGATATTTTACAATAGCTATCATTCCTCTCCTCAGTCTCATCATAGATAAACATACCAAACCCCCTCATCCGTTCCTCATAAGGTTTTAAACTCAGTAGTATTTATAGTAGGGGTTGCTAATGTGGGGCTCATGGGACGTCTTCCCTTACATGTCTGAGGTCTTTTTCTGACACTTACAAAGTCTCTGGTCTCTCTGGTCTCTCTCTGCAGTGACTTCCTTTTCGTGAGTCAGTGCTGGTCGTTCTATACTTCATAATAAGTACCTTTCAGTGCTGAAACAAAGCTTAGTCTAAGTTCAGAAAATGAAAGCATAAGGACATTCAGCCTCAGAACAGGTTTTAAAAAATACATTCTTACTACTAGTCTAGTAGCTCAGATAAAGTCTAGCAAAATGGGCTGCTTATAAGGCCTCTCCCAAACACACAAACATGCCTACATACATTTCAATACATTTATATTAATTTCTCTATCCAGAAATGGAAATTTCTCAAGCTAAGAGTGGCATTAAAGTGGGACGAAAAGAATTTAAGTTAAGAGCCTTCGCAGATGATCTAGTCTTAACGTTGGAAGAACCAAGACAAAGTGTGAAAGAGGCAATAAAAAGAATGGAAGCGTTTGGGAAGGTATCAGGATTTAAACTTAACAAAAACAAGACGAAAATGCTAGCAAAAAAATTGAAGAAAGAAGAGATGGAAGAATTACAAGTAGACTCAGGAATCGCGATAGCTAAAAAAATAAAATATTTAGGAATTTGGATGACAACAAAAAAATATAAACCTGTACAAGGACAACTATGAGGTGGTATGGAAAGAAATTAAGAAAGATATGGATATATGGAGTAGACAAAAATTGTCATTATTAGGCAGAATCTCTGTGATAAAAATGAATATGCTACCTAGACTGCTATTTTTATTTCAAGCAATACCAGTGGTAAAAGGGATAAGACAATTTAAGGATTGGCAAAAAAACTTAGCGAAGTTTGTCTGGCAGGGGAAAAGGCCAAGGATAAAAATGAAGATACTAGTAGATAAGAAAGAGAGAGGAGGCTTTGATTTACCAGACCTGACTTTATATTATGAAGCTTCGTGTTTGGTATGGTTAAAAGACTGGCTGACCTTAGAAAACACTGACCTATTAGATTTAGAGGGCCACGATAATAGATATGGTTGGCATTCGTACCTATGGTACAACAAAGTAAAGGTACATAAAGGTTTTCTAAACCATGTGCTTAGGAAATCTTTATATGAAGTATGGGATCGGAATAAAAACCTCCTGGAAAGAAAGACACCGTGGTGGATATCACCAATTGAGGTGCTGACAATAAAAAAAGTAACCATGGAAGGGGAAAGAGTAACATATGAGGATATTACTACGAAAACAGCCCAAGGGATAAAGCTCAAACCATACGACCAAATTGAAAAGATGTTAACAGGGTGGCAGCAATACCATCAGTTCAGTGATTTATTAAAGGAAGACAAAAAGAGAAATGGGTTCGAAGATAAAAAATTGAAATTCCAAATCGAGTTAATAGAATGTAAAGATAAAATTTTATCAAGAATGTATAGCTTATTGCTAGAATGGTATACAAAAGATGAAGAAGTAAAGGAATCAATGATAAAATGGGCAATTGATATTGGGCATAACATTGAATTGGATGCGTGGAAAAGATTATGGAAGGAGGGCTTGAGATTCACACGATGCATGGCTTTAAAGGAAAACTTGCTAAAAATGATGTATAGATGGCATTTGACGCCAGTAAAATTAGTTAAATGTATAGGAAAAAAGAAAGAAAGTGTTGGAAATGTAAAAAGGCAGATGGGACTATTTCCATATGTGGTGGACCTGCGATAAGGTAAAAAAAAATGGGAAGCAATGTATAATGAACTCAAAAAAATATTTAGATATACTTTCCCCAAAAGACCGGAAGCGTGTCTATTAGGCTTAATAGGAACAGAAATTAAAATAGAAGATCAAAATCTGTTCATGTATGCTACAGCTGCCGCGAGGACCCTTCTGGCCCAAAGATGGAAAGTACAAGATATACCAACTATTCAGGAGTGGCAGGAGAAGTTGACAGAATATGCAGAACTTGCCAAACTGTCAGGGAGGATCCGGGACCAGGGAGATCAAAGATACCAAAATAACGGGAGTAAATTTATTCAATATTTAAAGAAGAAATGTAAAGAGGTCAAGGCACTAGCAGGATTGACATAATACCTCCAATGTATAATAGTACTAATTTGAGAATGATGTGTGTGATGGAAAGAGGATAAATATACCAGTTGTGGGGAGGGAGGGGGGTCGTGACTTGGCAGAGTCAAAGGGAATGTATGGTGCTATTACAATTTGTTGGAAAAGAATATGTAAGGAAAACAATAAAAATTCACTTGAAAAAAAAGAAAAGAAATGGGAATCTCTCCTATATTCTCTTAATTCACAAGACATTTGTTCCTTTTTTTTGCACCAGCATAAGTCCCATTCATATCTAAAGTGGATTCCCCCAGATAAAAGGGTAAACATTTGCTGCCTCACTCATTATTCTGAGGCTGCAACTCTAGGTTTGATCATTCCTTTGATGTAATAAAATGAGAGGCTTAGTTCTTACACAAGCTCTTCAGGCAACGCTGGTGGGGGTTCCTCAGAGAATGTTGCTGGAGAGGCGATGAAGCCACCATGGAAAACTATGCCACCAATGAGGAACTCTCCTGGCTGATGATACGTGTGAAGTGGATGGTGTGGACCTTGGAGCCTGCATTTTGCCATGTGAGCCTCACATACATTGTAAGAAATCAGTTCCAGCAGCAAGAACACTAAAAACACCATCTTTAATACAAAGTCAAAACAAAAACTATGGCAGACCAACACGGCTACCTATCTGTAACTTAATACAAAGGCAATTCTTTGTTTTATGCAGAAACTATGTTTTTTTCTGGCAATACTAGAATAGGTTTTTCCAAGATAAAAATTGTCTCATTTAAATGGTAGATAAATTTCCTGAGGGGACACAATATGGAAGTATCCAAAATTAGACTTGTTGATCCCAGACAGTATTTAAATAATTCTGGTTAAGTTGCAGTATCCTTTGTGTTATGTTGCCAGTGGCCAAAGAAAATACACAGGGATTTTTTAGGAGCAGCATATTAATTATAGCCCTGTTAATAACCAAGCAGGAGTATAGTTGTTCATCCAATGCCCGGGATTCCCTGTGGAATTGCAGAAGAAAATTGCTGAAGAAAATATTCAGAACTGTTATTTTAATTTCCCTTTCATTAGATAATAATAGACCAGTGGTGTATGGGTGAAATTAGAAGTTAGAAGCTCATAACAGAAGACCTTGTAGCCAGTGAAGACTCCAACATGTAGCATGGTGCAGTCAGCATCTTGGAATTTGGCTGAGTGGACCTGGAGTCACACGAGCTTCTGGCATGACTGGAATGGCTGCTCATTGCTGTTCTGTAGGATTACAGTTGTGTCCACTGGCTCTCAGCCTCCTTCCCCTGTGCCTTGGGAATGCATGTTTGCCCAAACCCTCAAGGGCAAATGCCCCTGTGATTCTAGAGAGGTTGAGTTGGTGCTCCATGCCGTCCTTTATGAGTCCTTTTATAGAGCCTTGTGAAAAGTCACTCTTGATTCTGTCAGCCTCCATGAGCTAGAAACTTAGTGAGAAAAAGTATACCTGAAATCTCTCAGACCCCACAGTTCATCCAGGTGCAGCTGAGGGTGGTCACGATTCCGAAAGTTGCTGAGCCTGACTAGCCTTTTGGGTGAATTTAATTCAGTGTCCACCTTCATTCAGGGCTGCTGATATCTCTGGCTTCTTCTGCAAACTTCTGCATTTTATTTTTTAAATATGCATTCTGCTTCACTTCCACTAGGGCAAGGGTTGGGGATGTGTGGCACTTCCAAAACCCAGACAGTATGGAAAATGGTCAGCAATGATGAGGGCTGTAGTCTAGCAATATCTGGAGGACTATAGGCTTCCCAGCCAAACTTTAGGGGATTAAAAGCAAATAACAAGAAAAGAAATAATATGTTTGCCTGTGTTTTTATATCTGCTGTAAGCCACTCAAAGTGGCCGGGGAAACTCAGCCAGGTGGGTGGGTTATAAAGTATAAAATTATTATTATTATTATTATTATTATTAGTCCTACTTCCTTCCATTTCTGTCTCCACTTGAATACCCTGGACCTTCGGCAAGGAGGGCATAATCTTACAGACAATACTTAACAAGCATAGTCCACAGATGTCCACAGAGAAACAAATGTTTTAAGGTTTAATGGGGCTTACTCTGGTTTATTTGCATTCTCCATTCATCATGGTTAGATCTAATCAATTTTATCTGCTCATCAAACATTTGCTGAAGGATGCCAACAGCAGTGGAATAGCAAACAATATATTTGCCACATATATAAAACGTATATGTATTATGAATGGACCGTTCTGATCCATCACATATGTTGGTGAATTAATACCAATTGTGGCTCTCCATCTGTCAAATGAGTGGCACAGTGAGGTCTGCAGGGTCCTTTGTTGCCATCTTTTCCAAGGACCAGGTCGGAATTCATTTACATTTTCTTATCTAGGACTCTGAATTTCTCCAAGGAGACATGATTCAGACAAAATCTTGGGGGCAGGGGAACCCAATTCAATGGGGCATATGTTATCTCACAGTACATAGATAAACTATGGAACTCACTGACATAGGAAACAATGGTGGGGACAGTGCATTTGCAGTTGGGTACGGCTTGAAGGTTTCCCACAGGTATCTGGTTGGTCAGTGAGAGTACAGGCTGCTGGACCAGATGGGCCATTGGCCTGCTTCAAGAGGATCATCTTCCATTTATACGATCTTTGGTATGGATGGGTTGATGGCAAAATCTGTTAGCGGAACAGAACAATAATTCATAAATGGATATTCCGATATTCCATGGCCTGCAATAGTACAGGCCACTATGCTGAAAGCTGTGAAACAAGTTTGATCACTGAGAATTAAGGCCAGATAAAGATTTACTTGCATATATTTTGACAAGAATTGCTTTGAGTCTTCTTATTAGCACATGCTACAAGAGAATAATGTATGTGTAAACATATGATTTTTTTTCTTTTTTTCTTTTTTTAAAAAAAATATTTATTGAGTTCTTAAAAAGTTACAGACAGACATTACATACAAACATTTACAAAGTATTAATAAAAAGACAAGAAATAAAGAAAGAAAAAAGAAGAAGAAGAAAAATCAAATTAACATATATCAAAATAAAACAGACTAACTTACAAACAGTTGACTTCCATCCATCTCAGTTTGGTTATAGGTAATCTTATAATCTTTCTGCAGGTGTAATGAGTCAACTCTATATATCTATACATTGCAGGTTTTAGCTATCATCCACTGTAATTTTGATAGTTCCTAAATTGACTTCAATATAGCTTAAAAATTTATTCCAGTCATTCTTTAGTTTTATGCTTTTTTGATGTCTAATTCTTTGTGTCAATCTCGCTAGCTCAATGTATTCAAATAGTTTCGTTTGCCATTCTCTGATAGAGGGAATGTTGGGGGATTTCCAATTTTGTGCTAATAAAATTCTGGCCGCCACCATTGCGTATTGAAAGAATGTTTGGTCTTCGTTTTTGATCTCCTCTCCAATCATACCTAAAAGAAATGCTTCAGGTTTTTTCGGGAAGGTGTATCTCAGTATTTTTTTTAAGTCGTCATAAAATTGTCCCCAAAATCTCTTCCCCACCTCACAGGTCCACCACATATGGAGGAAGTTACCTTCATTGGCTTTACATTTCCAGCACGCACTGCCTCCGGTTTTGTACATCTTCCCCAGCCTTGCCGGGGTGATGTACCAGCGATACATCATTTTCTCCATATTTTCTCGGAGAGCAGCGCATGCTGTAAATTTCATACCTCTCTTCCAAAGTTGTACCCATCTATCATATTCCAGGTCGTATCCAAGGTCTTTGGCCCATCTGACCATAACTCCTTTCACCTCCTCATCTTTGGTTTCCCAGTATAACAATTGTTTGTACATTTTAAACAGTAGTTTGTTATTACTTTCGAAGAATTTCGACCTGATATCTAGATTTTTTTTCACTCATCCCTGATTTTTTATTATCGTTCCACAGCGCATTAATTTGGTGAAATTGTATCCATCCAGCTAGTTTGTCCTTCAGCTCTTCATAAGGTCTAATTTTCCACCCCCTTTCTGATTTAACTAGGAGATCTTCATATGTCCATCTTTCACCTTCCAAATTTGGTTTTTTAATTTTTAAGATGTCTATTGGTGACAGCCACCAGGGGGTATCTTTTTCAATACGCTTTTTATTCCTATTCCAGACTTCCAGTAGCGGACCTCTAATGATATGGTTGGAGAAGCCTTTGTGAACTTTTTCTTTGTCATGCCATAAATAGGCATGCCAGCCAAACCTAATATTAAAGCCCTCTAGGTCTAATAAATCTGTGTTTTTTAAAATGGCCCATTCTTTAATCCAGCAAAGGCAGGCAGCTTCATAGTAGAGCTTTAGGTTCGGAACTGCGAAGCCCCCTCTTTCTCTTAAATCTGTAAGGAGTTTAAATTTAATCCTCGCCCTTTTCCCTTGCCATATAAATTTAGCTAGGATTTTTTGCCAGTTCTTAAAACACGCTGCACCTCTAATTACCGGGATGCTCTGGAATAAAAATAATAATCTTGGAAGAATACTCATCTTAATCGCAGCCATCCTTCCAGTCCAAGACAATTTCAACCTATTCCACGTGTCAAGGTCTTTCTTAATTTCTTTCCAGACCTTAGTGTAGTTATCTTCAACTAAATTTATGTTTTTCGGGGAGATCCAATATGCATATGATTGTTTTTTCAAAGCAAATAAGTCAATTTTACAAATGAATTTTCAATTATGGAAATTTGGAGTACATTAAAAAATATATATATAAAAGGAAGCAGCTGAACATATATTTCCAAATATTCTACTGTACACACAGAAAAAAGCATGAAAGCAAGCAAAGGGCAGGTTTATTATTTCTTTATTTTTTCTTCCTTATTAACTGTTCCCTATTGTTCAGCTCAGGCCTCAAAATAATTATATAGCATTTGGGGGAAAAGATGCAACCCAGCAACCCACCACCAGAGGCTAAGATGGAGAAGATCTCCACAGCTACCATGTATTTTCCCTTGGTGCTCAGGTAGGAAGGAATAAAGGACAGCCAAACACTGCAGAAGACCAACATGCTGAAAGTGATAAACTTGGCTTCGTTGAAACTGTCTGGTAACTTCCTGGCGAGGAAAGCCACAGCAAAACTTACAGTGGCCAGGCAACTCATGTAGATGAGGACACAGTAAAACATTGTTACAGACCCTTCATTACATTTTAGTATTATTTCTCCTGTCATTGAGTACATGTCTACATCTGGGTATGGGGGAGAGGTTGCCAGCCACACAGTACATATCCCTGCTTGAACTATGGAGCAGAAAAGGAGAATGGAGTGGCCTAGTCCTTTCCCCACCCATTTCCTCATCCTGGATTCTGGTTTTGTAGCCATGAAGGCCAAAACCACCGTGAAGGTTTTTGCCAGGACACAAGAAACAGCGGTTGAGAAGATGATACCAAAAGCTGGTTGCCGGAGGAAACATGTGGGCTTGTCAGGTCGGCCAATGAAGAGCAAAGCACAAAGGAAGCAGAGCAGGAGAGAGATGAGGAGAGTGTAGGTGAGGTTTCGGTTGTTTGCAATGACAATGGGTGTGTCATGGTGCTTCATAAATATACCTAGTAGCAGAGCTGTGATCAGGGAAAGGAAAAGAGAGAAGCAGGCTAAACTGATGCCCAAAGGTTCTTCATAAGACAAGAAGCTGATATCCTTGGGTAGACATGCATCCCGGTTCTTGCTTGGATAGTCTTTGTCTGGGCATTTATTACAGTCATTCATATCTGGGGGGAAAGAAATATACTAGGTCATACATTTGAATTTGGTGAAATGTTTACTTTCTGTCTGTGAAAGTAATGATAACTACAGAGTCTGGATCTATTTAATCTATTCATTTTCCCTACCATACTGGTTTGCAATCTTCCCCTCTGCACATGGGATGCAATCGTAGCAGCAAGGTGGCTGTCCCTCCTTCACTTTCTTGCTGGATCCTGGAAGACATCTCTCAGTACAGAGAGAAAGAGGCCGAGTCTATTCCGTAAATGAAAGAGCAGAAGGATCAGCAAGAGAACAATGAGTTTGGAAATCTTCATGTTCCTGGGCCCCTCTCTATGTTACTAAGCTGAGTCAGCCTTTCAGCAATATGTAGAATGGCTATATTTTTTTAGTAGTAGTAATGGATGAAGTGATGTCATACTCCCTCTATTGTTCTGGGATGTGTGGGTTTTGTGATTACATAGCAGTTCCCCACTTTTTAGCAAGAAAGGCAAAATCTTGGGGCTTATCTATGCTCTTTTCTTCAGTTAAAAATCAGTATTTTATAATGTTAAGAAATATTTATAAAATATTCATAAATATAATAAAATAAAATATTTGCCTTTATTCCTTGAGTGACTTCTAGCAGTAAGCTTTTGGCTCTTCATGTGGTACTTAGATGATTTGTTCATATTCTACACAGTAACATGTAGTTTAAAAGACAATGAGTAGACATGCAGGTGAATATTCATTGCGTATGCAAGAATGAATCTCCTTGGAATTATCTAATTATACAGTCCTACCTGATTAAACCAACCGTTCCATGTTATGGCATCTTCATCAAGGATGAATGATGGGTCTGCAGAAGCCTGTGGATCTATCCTCCCAACACTCACTCTTTGCAAACTTTGGTTGGAGAATATAATCCAATTGACAATATTCAAGCTAGATACCACTTCACCATTCTGGTTGATGAAGACCACATCTCCAGCCGTATTGTTAAATTTGATACTTCTCAGAAAGTGATGGAGCTAGATTGAAAACAAAAAAAGCACGTTTCTAAAAGGCTGCAGTTCTAATACATAGCTAAGGTATCTTTATGCTGTGGGCAGGACCTACAGCAACTGGTGGGTAGTGATACAGTCAACTGTGAGTGGAGTCAGATCCAGGGATGGAGAGACCACCAATTTTCTCTCTGCCACATCCCTCACTTCGTTTTAACAACCTTTCTTTATCTCCCCCTCCCCACACCACTTTCCCTCTGTCCCTTTTGATCTCAGGAGACACCACAGTGGTGTGCAACCACAGGCTCCGAGTGAGGATTTTGTGCATATGGGATAAAGAGAATGCTGAACACCTCTCTTGATCATTACCGCTGCTTCTTATCTATGAATGCAGTAACATATTAGTGGTCTGCAAACTTCTACCATGGAAGTGATTTTCCTTGTCTGAGATGAATGAGCAAGTTGACAACATTTTGGAAACCCATATCTTGTGGGGGAATAACAGGCCTCTTCCAGTTGAGGATGTTTAGCCTATTACCTGCCAAAACTGTTGATTCTGATTCTTCCTTCTCCCTCTGTATACCATTTCTCTGTGCCTGAGTCTGGATGTGAACATGGTATGTAAAGCATGGGCCATGGCGTAGACAGCATTGTGAATACTGTAACTGTGGCCTGTCATCCTCATTTCAAAAAATGATCCGGGAAGGCTCTCTAGATTCTCTTCTCCGGTGCAAATATTCCCCTCCACCTTGTCTGCAGTCATATCTGGGAACACACATTCAAAGGCCTGTTGCCAGAAGTCCCTGATAAAACCGTCCCCATCTGTGCTGGAAGGGTTTCTATGCACAACATATTGATGAAATCCTGGTGGGTTTCTGAAGTGAATTTCAAAGGATATAGCACCATTGAATATTCCTGCATCCCAGTTCCTTTGAATGACTAATGAAGTGAACTCAACCTGGGCCGTTAATATCCATACTTTACTTTTTATATTGTATGTCATGGCATCATGTACTGATAGGTATGGAAGCCATCTCAAAATTGTCATGTAATAAGATTCTCCATAGGCAATTATGATATTAGCTGTGCTGCTAAAAATTTTATGATTTATACTTGCCCCCTGTTCTACCATGCCATTCATTTCAGAAATAAAACTTAAACTGGGGATTCTTTCTAGGAATGCAAAGCAGACACCACTCTTGGTAAATATTGGAGAGATGGTTTGCACAAATCTTTCTCCGTTGTCATTGTCCATTGCAATGAGTCCAATCCACGTCCACCTGAAATGCAGAAGCAAAGAGAGAATTCCCTGATACTGAAGGGCTTCTGAGGCTGCCATCTGGTAGAAGGGAAGCCCTGGGCTTTTATCATTCATCACTGGAGCAGAGCCATAAGTGAGCTAAAAAGTAAGTGGAGGAAGAGAAGAGACAAAGTAGATTCCTTTCACAGTATTCATATACATTATGTGGTGAACCCTGTTAGTCAAATATGCCCTTTGTCAACATTTCAGAGTTTGGTGCAGATGGGCTGAAAACTGGGATCATCTCCCATTTGTGGTTTGGAAACCTGTGCTTTGCTGAATGGAGAGGGGCACTGTGTCTGTTTTTTACTATTTTTATGAATCTTGTTTACACATTGATGACTGGAGCAGGGCATTGTGTCTACTTCACTTAAAAACAAACAAAAGTTTTTTTTATGTCGTTGCAAAATTTGGCAGGGTCTTGTACAATGGATAAAACAGAATGGGGGAACATACCATGCCCCAAACAGCAGATTTCCCTGGACATTTTCTGGTTTTGTCAGAATTGCAAATTGGGTTAGATGCACATTCCTTCTCTGGAGCTTCGTCTTTCTTCTTCATGTTGCACAAGACCCATCACACAGCAAAACTGTGCAGATTCTTCTCAGACTTTATTTATGAACATTTATTTCACTAGTGAATCAGCTGCTAACTACTTTTACTGTTTGCCTGCGGAACTGGATTGTATCTGCAGTTTGCCATAACTTCTCTGTATCTTTAAATATGTTGGGTGTGCTAAAGAGGAATAGTTATTGTACTGGCTCCTACCTGTAAGGTTTT